CTGCTGAGATGGGGATGATATGTTGGAATGCCATAGTCCTCTCTGGAATTATGTTTTTTTCAATTAAATGCAGAAAATCTTTAGGATTCTGGAGTTGGTTCATCAATTCACGGAATTTATCCGGGGCATGTGGCAAATCCATTTTATTAACTGCCAGCAATGCAGGTTTTGTCTGAAGTTCCTCTTTGTACAACTCCAACTCTTTTGTAAGCAGTATTATGGTTTCAAAAGCAGTTCTGTATGGAGTTTTTGAAGTAAGCTGAAATCCAAAAATATCAACAACAAAAAGTAGTTGTCTAGTTCTTTCTATATGCTTGAGGAATTTGTGGCCCATGCCTTTGTTCATATGTGCTCCTTCTATTAAGCCTGGAAGATCAGCTACTGATATCTGTTTGAAATCACTATACATAATCTTTCCAAGTTCAGGCTTTAATGTTGTAAATGCATAATCTGCAATTGCAGGTTTTGCGTGAGAAACCTGACTTAGCAAAGAGGATTTTCCAGCATTTGGGAATCCTATTAGGCCTACATCAGCTACAAGTTTTAGATCAAGATGAATTATTCGTTTCTGGCCTTTCAAAGGTAAGAAATTTGTAAGTAATTTACCACCAAGACCTCCTTCAGCGACCAAAACTCTGTCTACCTCTTTATTGAGTTCTCCTATAATTTTACCATTTTCGTCAGTTACTGAAATACCCAGAGGTACAGGGATTTCACAGTCTTTTCCTTTGGAGCCTTTCAGTGCACTAACCCGACTGTTTGCTCCTCCTCCAGCAACAAACCGTTTCTGAGGATATTTGTCTTTAAGTTGCTTTAAAGTCATTTTTTTTTTGGGCTACAACCCAGACATCACCACCTTTTCCACCTTCTCCACCTAAACGAGGATAACCCATTCCACCACTTCCTCCTTTGGTGAAGAGTCTTAGGTTATCAATGAAATTTCCATACTTTCTGAACAACACGCAACTGCAATGCACCATGACTGCAAGGAGTCCGTGTCTTCTCTCGCGTAAGCGGCCCAAATATGCCACTTTGGCACATGGATTATTTTGAGCTACAGGCACTTAAAAACAGCAGAGGCAACAAGGGCACTCTGACCTCCTTTTTTTGTTCCTACAAGTAGGAGACAAAACTCCCACGTGAAAGATGCCCTCCCTCTACCAGGATGAAAGGAACATTTTTATCACCAGAGAGGAGAAATCTGTACAGACCTTGTCCAAGTAACTCTTATCTTCTTTTATTTAGTCCCCTCACATACTGTAGTTACTTTCTCACAGTTGTTGCTTTTCGTTCAACCTAATACATAAGCACTTAGCCCTGGCCACTTCTTTAGGTCTTCACTTTTCTGTGAAGGTAGAGGAAGAATTTTATCTCCCCACACAGTTGCCAGGACTTACTTTCTCACAGCGTGAGGCTTTACCAACACCATAGCCTTCTCTGCTCTGGCAGTCAGCAGCGGTCCTTTGCAGGGGCCTCTGCAGAATGGCTCTCTTTGGCCCCTAGTCTTCCCCATCACATCAAGACATGCCTCCTCCTGGAAATGAAGTGAGAGTATGTCAGCAGACCTCCTTTTTCTCTCCCCCCTTGCCATCAACAAATCTTGCCCTTTTTACATAATCATAAGGATCAGCTTATCCTTTACGAGTGCATTGTCTCTATTCCAGAGTGGATTCCTTGTAGGCAAGCGCTAAGAGATAGCAGATAGTTCTAACGATCCTAACACATCCTGGTGAGCTGGGAATTAGGGAGTGCTATGATGTGAGGCTGTGAGCAGCCTGGTGGCTCTGCCTGTACAATGGGGTCTGGTTGTCCGGACCACTTGCTTGGGGAACCTGCAGACACCAGCCACAGGCACTCCCCTCTTCAAGTGCTGACTCAGCTGAGTAGCCTCCCTGGATCTGAAGGACTCAGTCCAGGTTATAGTCTAGCCTAGAGTTTTTCAGTGTTTGGTTCTAACCCATTCCTGTGTCACGAAATTAAAATAGGAGGCTTTGTCTAATTTTGAAAAATAGTAATTATTATTGTTGCAACAAATGGTAAACATCTCTCACCGTCAAGCTCAGTCCTAATTGCTTTACAAGTATTTCCCCTTTTGTCTTCACATCTACTCTATAAGTAGATGCTATTATTATTCCCAGTTTACAGAATGAGAAAGTCAGGCACAGAGCCCTTAAGAAACTTCTTCATGGTCACAAAGTGAACCCATGGCAGAACTGGGATTTGAACCCAGGAAGGCTGACCCCATAATTTGTGGTCTTAATCCATATGTTTTCTGTTTCTTGGTATAGAAAAAAAAAAAAAAAACTGAAGAGAAAATATCAGATCACATAGCATGTAATAAGGGTTAAGTATTATTTTGTGCAACTTTTATTTCAGTTACATGTGTGTGTTTGTATTGGATTATACTGTAAAGTTTATTAAAATTAGTCATGCTCAAAAAAACCTGAAAGATCGGGGC